AGTGGGACACATGCATGTCCTCAAGCACAGGAAGCCAGGCTTGTCCCCCCGAGAGGATCTGTAAGGGAGAGGCTCCTGAAGTCACAAGTCCCGTCAAATTTCTAAGGATGTCCCGACCTGGACCTCCACCATAGAACTAAACTTGGAAAACAAAAACAAAACCCTCCTGTGACAGTCATGCCATACCCAAAGTCACCACTAGGGGGCAGAAGAACACAAGTATCATTGCTATACCTGCAGAAAAAGTTGCCTGTGGCTCCCCTCAGTCACAAATTAGGCAGGAGGACTCCGGGTGCAGCCTCCCTGTCTGCCCCCGACCCCCCCACACACGCACACGCTCTTGCTTTCAAACCACCTTGTGGTTCTTCTACTCGGCCCCAGGTCTTTTATATCTCCTGTAAGACAAAACCACTGAGTTCTCAAACTTGGCTGTGCGTCCCCTGGGCTGTTCCGGGCTCAACACTTCACACCGGTGCTGGCTTGCATTGATTGCTGAATGGTTCCTCAAAGAAGCCTCCCTTGCAGGTGTCATCGTCTTCCTGTCTGCCCAGCTCACAGACTGCTGGTTGCATTCCTGACACACACTGAACTTAGTGGGCTAAGGCGGAGCAAAGTTTCTCTGTTTGGGTCGCAGATGGCACAGCGGCAGGTTGGAGGTGTGGCTGCCTTTGCATGCCATCGCTGCCATTCTCTAGACCCTTTGGGTTTCTTTCCTTACTCGATGTTACCGCGCTTCTACCGCGCTGAAAGAGAATGCCCTATCATCTTCCCCGACAGCATGTACCAAATGCAGCTTGCTCTGCACAACTTGGCAATAATGTACTTTCCTCATCTACCGGAGCACCTGTCATCTTCATAGCCTCTCTCTCCTGGGGAGTCCTCCCTTCCTGAGGGTTGCTTTTCAAACACAACCAACACGACTGCCGTCTTTTATTTGCTCTTTCCTCTGGGCCACTAATACCCTGCCTTTAGTAGTAGCTTCAAGAGCCAGGTGGCTAGGCCTGATGAAATGATGTAAACCAGCCAATCCTAAACATGTCTATCCTGTCTCATTCCTTCCTTCCCATGTGCAGTGCTGAGCTTTACCTGATACCTGACACAACCCGGAAGCCCCTGGGAAGAGTTTTAATAAGAACTTATCTAGATCAGGGTGGCCCCGTGGGCATATCTATAGGCGATTATCTTGACTGTTATTGTTACAGGAAGGCCCAGCCCACTGTGGGCAGCACATTCCTTAGGCTGGGCCCTGAATTGTACTAGCGATGAAAACTAGCGAGCGGATAAGCAGCATGTGTGCGTGTATTCCTTGCTGCTCTTGACTGCAAATATGATGCTTAAGTTCCTAACTCGACTTTCCCACAACAAGGGGCTGTAACCTGGAATTGGAAGTCAATAAATTCTTCTTCTAAGCTACTTTTTGTTAGGACATTTTTATCACAGCAACAGAAATGAAACCAGGACATTGTGGAAATCAGTAACGGCTCTTGTCATGGTTTCACCTTGTCTTTACACACCCTCACTGGTACTTCTACCTCTGTGTTACGACATGCAGCCTAGGCTGGGATCTATAACAAATCTTTTTCAGTGGCTGATGTCTCCTAATTGGTCAGCCTCCGAACAGCTGAGTAATACTGCAACCTAGAGAGACAACTTCCCCACCACAACGGGAAGAGTGGCTGGCGCCCTGTCTCGAACCCTGGTCCCATCCAGTGCCTGCTATGCACAAAAGAGAGCTCAGCCAAGGACAGATGAGTGAGAAAATGATGGAAGTGGAGAGGAAGCTCCAAGTTTGGAATCCGGCCCTGGTTCTTCCTCCTCCCACCGTGAGAACTTGTTCCCATGATGAGTCCAGAGGAACAGCTACTTTACTGTTGAATTTTGCCATGAGCCAATGTAAATTAAAGCCCTTTTCATGACCATAGCGGCCCCTTCTGTTGCTCCTCACACATCCCGTGGAGTCCCGGTTATTCTAGAGACATCAGATTAATGCGGTGAATAACTGATACTAAATCCGTAAGGTTAGGATAACTTTTAATAGATAAACGCCAGCCAACAGCAAGCCAGAGCGTGCCAAAGCAGCAAGGCGAGAGAGCTCCCGTGTGCCTTGTCTGTCCCTTTCAAACCTCCCCCACGTCACCCTGACATCACCGTGACCACACCCTGACGGGCGTGGTCGGACACACCTGTAGTGTCTCCCTATGTCAGATCTCTTCAGATCTCCAGCTCTGTGCTACCAAAACTCTTGAGCTGACAGCCAGCTTCAAAGGTGGTGATATTGTGAGACGGGACCTAGGGACTGATTAGATGATGACGTGGAACTCTTGTGAATGAGGCCAGGGTTCTTGTGAAGAGTGCCCCAGAGAGCTGCTTCTTCCCTTTACCACACTAGGACACAGTGGGCAGAGACGTCCATGAAGGCAAGAATCAGGCCCTCACCAGACACCAAGTTTGCTAGCATCTTGATCTTGGATTTCCACACTGTGAGAAATGCATTTCTGTTTGTGAGTTACCCATTCTAGGGCATTTTGTTAGACCAGCCTGCATGGATTCCAAAACCAGCTGAGACTCCCCTCCCCCACCCCTTGAGCTCCAGAAGTAACTGACTAAATGCTTATAGGACATCTCCACCTTGTCAACCTATCCAAGGTCACAGTTAACATGCCAACAGTCAAGTTCACCACATCTCACACGTCATTCATTTCTGTCATCTTTCCTATTGCCATAGCTCGGGGTGGGGGGGAGCAGCACAGCAGGGGGGAAGTGATCTCAGGGATGCTATGTAACACACTGACAGAGATTCGAGACAAGAAGAGAAGCCCATTGGTGTGCTCAACGGGAAGCTGTCGTCCCAGGTCCTGTCCCAGAAGGACCACAGTGCTCCAGTCCTGACGGGCAGAAGCAGATGGTGTTCCAGGGACTCTGGCTTGCATGGGGTGGCCTTGGAGCTTGGGAAACAAGAAGACCAGGTCCTAGCATGGTCACTTCCCCAGATAGACTTGTTACAGATCCTGGGTTCTCACTTCACCTTTATACCAGGACCATTTCTCCTCCCAGAGCAATGCCATAGTCACAGGACTCTTTCTTGCCTTTTATCCCCCCCCACACACACACCTGTGTGTAAAACATGGGTATAGAAGCTGAGGTTGGGAGGGCTCTTAAACACTCATCAAGAGAGTTATATTCTGATCTAAGCTGGGCATCAAATGTGAGCTCCCACTGCCCTGCTCATGTGCGAGCCCTCCACTGTGTGACATCAGAAGTGTGTGTATACCTTGATTCCTTTGCAAATAGGAGCCACTTCACCATCTCTGAAGCCAAAACCTAACATCTCCACTGAGATCTGTGATTTAGACTCCTATATAATGAGAACTTTCTGGCCCTACTGGGTCCTGCTGCCCTTGAGAGCCCCAGATAAACACACAAGACTTATATTAATTATAAAATTGTTGGCTGGTAGCTTGGACTTCTTATTGGCTAGCTCTATCCTAATTATTAACCCATTTCTATTAATCTATGTATTTCCATGTGGTCTTGGCTTGTTGGAGAATGCCCAGGTGTCCTATCTTCCCAGGCTCTACATGACAACTCTGTCTGCCTACACTTCCCAGAATTCTCCTAGACCCGCCTATCTCCCTGCCTCTATTGGCCACAGTGTTTTATTCATCAACCAATAAGAGAAACATATACACAGAAGGCCATTCCCCATCACTCCTAGAAGCCCAGGATGCGCTCAGCCCCTTCTCCACCAGCCTGGCCCTGATGAGCTAAGGTGACATGAGCTCTCGTTTGAATCACTGCAGGGACCCACCACCCACCCAACCATTGTTCTCCTCTGTATCCCTAGATCAATCCAAAAGACAAATCCAAATCATTTCTTCCTCCAGCTTGCATCACTTTCTCATTCTCTGCTCTTCAGTCCTCTTACCCCCTCCGTCATTTGCTGTCAAATGTGACTCCCTCCTCAGCTCCAGAGAGGCAGGACCCTCCCTATGTGTTCCAAATGTGTAGCTCCTTCCTCTTGGACTTGTTCTCCTCATTCCTCCTATGTTTTATGTGCCCTGAGCTGCTGGAGGCAATGAGGCCATTATTCTCCACGCTTGTAGCAACCTCTTCTATCTTGCTTAGAGCCCTTGGTCTACTGCTTTCCACTCCTTTTCCACTCTCACTGTGGGTGAGGATATGGGTGGGCCCCTGAACATATTTTGGGTTCACCAGTGCTGTTCCAAGTTGGGTCCCTGGACCACCAGTGTCAGCATCACCTGGGAAACTTGGCACATCAAATTTATGGCCGCAGCCCAGCCCTGCCTAGTCAGAGCTCTGGGAACAAAGCAAGAGACTGTTTTCTCAAGCACTGTAGGACAATCCAGATGCATGTTCAATCAGAGATTGGCTGGCAGAAGCAAATGGGAACTGAATAAATATGACATAATGGGATTTAGTGTTGTTTGCCATAGACTGAATTACTGGGTTGATTATCTCCAGAGAATCGAGCCTTAGCCTGGCTCCTGCCCTTGTCACTCGCCATGAAGCCTGCCTGGGGTGTGCATCATCTGTCCCCTCCTTGGCTCCTGTTGCACTGTATAATAATTAATAGGGAAGTTTCAGATTGTAACCTGAGGAGAAACCCAATGACCAGAGAGAGACCTTGGTTTTCCAAGTGCCATGGTCGGGGCACTCATGATGGACTGACTCTGCTGCTCTGATACCTGCTTCTCATGCCACATCCTCAAATTGAAAATGATTGCCAAGGGAATTAATCCCTGAAGGCTTACAGTCATTATCTTTCCTGTAGTGACAGGTGTTCTATTCTAAGGTTGAGTCTGAAGGTGTCAATGTGTCCCTGAAGCTTTTTGTTGGTTGTGTTTTTAGTCCTCTGCTCTTGTTGCTGTTGGGAATCTGTCTCAAAAAGAAAGACAATATGGTTGCACATATCTTTAATCCCAGCATTTGAGAGGCAGAGGCAAATAGATCTCTGAGTTCAAGGCCAGCCTAGTCTACTGTCTTACTTAGGGTTTTTATTGCTGTGAAGAGACACCATGACCACAGCATTTTTTTTCTGAGACAGGGTTTCTCTGTGTAGCTTTGGAGCCTGTCCTGGAACTCACTCTGTAGACCAGGCTGGTCTTGAACTCATAGAGATCCCCCTGCCTCTGCCTCTCGAGTGCTGGGATTAAAGGCGTGTGACACCATTGCCCAGCAACTACAGCAACTCTTATAAATGAAAACATCTAACTGGGGTAGCTGGCTTACAGTGTCAGAGGTTCAGTCCATCACGGTGTGGAGCATGGCGAAGTACTAGCTGAGAGTCCTACATCTTGCAGGCAACAGGAAGACAACTGACTCACTGGGTGGCATCCTGAGCATAGGAAACCCTAATGCCCACCTCCACAGTGACACACTTCCTCCAAAAAGGCAGTACCCACTCCAGTAAAGCCACACCTCCTAATAGTGCCACCCCCTTTGGAGGCCATTTTCTTTCAAACCACCACATTCTACCTAGTAAGTTCCAGAGCAGCTAGGACTACCCAGTAAGCCCCTGTCTTACAAAGAAAGGGAGGAGGAAGAGAAGAAGACCGAGCTGTATTTGGTGAGTTCCCTAATGGGAGGGCCATTTGATATTGATGGATTTCTTCTCATGCCTTTTACCATGTCCGGTCTTTGTTGGCATTCAATAAATACTGGGTTCTGTTCACTAGGTGAAAAACTCTGAAAGGCCATTTAAGAAGCTCCCTTTGTTTTCTGTAGGACTGAAAGCTACAAACCTTCCCTTGTGCCATATCAAAAGTTCTTGCAATCATTTTCAGAGGGCGCTGTGTCTAGCCAGCCACCCTGATTTCTGCTTTCCTCTCCTGCTTCGTCTGAGATACTTTATCTCTAACCTGTGTTATAGCGTGTCTTTATCTCTTTCTTGCTCTTGAGTTTACAACATTCTCTTTTCATTCACACTCTTTTGCCTGTCTTTCCCTGACCTGAAAATTCCCACCCCCTCTTTTCAAGCCTGACTTAGCCATCCAGCAGATCTGAAGGGAATGTCACTTTGTGTGGCAATTCCCTCTTCTGCCTGAGGTTGGGGCTTACCATGTCCTTCCTGTGACTTTGATCACCTTCTTCTCTGTGACCCCTTCACTCTCCAGAACCCTTCTCAGAGGCTGGCCAACACAGGGCTCAAGTGTCCGGCAGCTAGCTTGGATGAACCACCTCACCCAACTGAAGTGAACAGCTTTCCAAGTTGCAAATTTATTTCCTTGCTTTTCTTTTTCCCCTGAACTAAGAATTCAATATTTTGAATGGGGAGAGTACATCAACAAAAGAATGAGCACATTTCAGAGAACAGAGGGCTACCAAGAGAAAGAAGGAAAGAAAATAAAAGAACAATGGCGGCAGAGAAGTGCATGGCCAATGGGAAGTTATAATTTCTACAGTGTCTGTGTGCCCACCAGGAGAAGGACCTCTGAGATAGCAGCACTTTGAAGACTCCTCTGGGGGCTTGCTCTGGCTTATTCTATGCTGTGTCGAGCCTCTGTACACAGGGTTATAAAGAGGAGCTGAGCCCTGACTTGGAGGACAGAGGGATTCCCG